TTCCTCCCTGCTCCTGCTCCAATAAAGGGTCCTCGGTGCCTCGGCACGGGCAGCGTGCAGACGGGGCAAACTGGGTCAGTGCAAAGGGACTCGGTGGCAGCGCCCGCACCCACGAGCCCGCCGGGTGCTCCGCTCCAGCCGGGGCTGCCTCCGGCTCCCTGCGCCGCGCCGAGGGATGTGATCAGGGTGGGTGGCAGATGGGGAATTTCCCTGAGCTCCCGCTGCCTCCCGCTGCCCTGCCTGTCCCCGCGCGGGCAGGGGGGCTCTGCGCCCAGGCACGGCCGCCCCCGGTGCCCGCTGTGCCGCTCACCCTCGGGACTGCACCGACCGCTCTCGTGGGAGATGAGGGCTCGGCATGAATGCGGGGAGCAAACCCAACGGCGCTCACCTGCCCAATGGGATTAATCCCAGCATGTGCATGTACCAGGTAAGGGGGACGTGGCGGGTCTCTTCCCCAGGGTGCATCTTGGGGGCATTCCATGGGCCTGTCCCATCCTCTTCCTCCTCCTCTGTGAGCCCTTTTGCCCAGGAGCTCTCTGCAACGTGTCAGACCCCATTGGGACAGGATTCAAGCTGGGTTACTTGAAGAAACCCCATTTTTGGGGCAGGGTTGGACACCCAGGCTCATCGGGGGCCACCGATAAGGGGTGACAGCCCTTCCCCGGTGTCACCCAAGAGCCAAGCTGTGACTGTGCGGAGGACACGCTGCCTGGGGAGGTGAGGGTGGTGAGAATGGTGGCTGGGGGATCTGGTGACATCCTTTCAGGGCACAGTGGCAGCTGGAGACCGTGTTGCCACAGGATCCAGAGAGCCGGGAGAGCCATCGATGGGGCAGGCAGGGAATATGTGTCCAGGGCAAAGCCCTGCATGGGGCAGGCAGGGATGCTCCAGGGATGCTCCTGCCCTTAGCTCCTGTTCCCCCTCGCCCATGTGGGGCTTGGCTGCCACGTGGCCAAGCTGTCCCCTCCATAGGGGCATCCCTCAGCCCCCAGAAAGGCAGAACTCCAGGGCGATTTCCCAGGAAAACTAAGCTGCCTTAATGCTTCTTACATGATTTATTTATTCATGTGGGAGCGCTGAATGCGACTTAATCGGGCTGAAAGCTCTCGGCTCCAATCCCTCTGCTCTCCCTGCTTGCGCAGGGGCGTGCGCCTGAGGACCAAGCCCTGGCCAGGGTCTGGGTGCTCTCAGCAGCACCCCAGGGCCCCGACATGGCTGCCAGCTCCCTCCTGCCCAGCCGCTCAGCTCAGCTCTCCCTCTTCTCTCCTGGGTGTAGGTGCCACCCGGGAAAGCGACGTGTAGGGCTCCAGGTGTATCCTGATGTTTTCCCGGTGTGGGGTCCCGCGTGGGATGGCACTTCTCCCTGCCCTGCCAGGGTGAGGGGGTTTGGCAGGAGTCTGTGTCCCCAGCTGTATCTGGGGTGGAACAGGCTCCCAGATTTCGCCGAGGCTGGGGGGGCGACGGTCGCAGAAACCTCCCGCAGCTCTTCCTTCCAAGCCTCACTGTGCTGCACCTTGGCTGCCTCCTGCGGCTGCCCAGGAAGCCCAGAGCTGGGCTTTTTGGGGTGGGCAGACTCCCTAAGACTCACCGAGCTCCCTGGAGGTCCTCCAGGAGCTGGGAAGGGTCGTGGCATCAAGCAATCACCCCAAATTCCTCCCATTTAACTTAAAAATTTATCTAGAGTGAACACTTGCAAATAGCAGCATGAAAATACGAACCCCAGCAGCTCCAGGCTGGGGGAAAACACCCACCGGGTGAGACCTTTAAAGTGCCTCAAGATTTTGGGGCAGGATGGAGGGATCTGGTGGCTCAGCATTGAACCCTTGGATCTGGCCATCCTTCTACAAGACGAGGGTGCTGAGATGTTGGATTGCTCGGCTGGATGATGCTCTGGGGTGGAAATACACCTCGTGTCCACGTGTTGAGAGGCGAGGACACCGATTCCCCATGGATGGTCCCCATAGAATAAGGATGCTGTGGCAGAGAGCTCCAGGACGTGCCACCACACTGCTCAGCGCTGAGGGTGGGTGATGGTCGAAGCCCTGGGTTTACCCAGCAGGATTTAATCTTTGTAATCCCGTACTACGCACTGCTGGGGTTGTGTTTATCCCCTCAACTGTGATTTGGGGCTTTCTCATAATTCTGCACTGCTCCTGGGACAGCAAAGAGAAACCAAGGTGATGGAGCTGCCAGCTCCCAGCGTGGACAGACGGACGGGTGGGGCTCCATCCCTCACGTGCTGAGTCAGCAGTGCTGATTTCCTGGCACCGGAATCTTTCCCACATCACCCTCCATTGCACGCCTGGCCCGTCAGGAGCAATCACTCCAATTAGGGGGCTTAAAATGCCATTAATCCCGCAGGCGGAGCCAGTTTGTTCCTGAGGCTCCGGTGTGTCCGCCCCCCTGCCACAGTCGGGGGAATTTTGCTCGCTCTGGTGCAATCTCACTGCATCCATGTCTGTGCTGTGGACGGCACAGGGAAAGGCAGATGGTGGCTCTGGGCTGAGAACTTCTGCGTTTCAGCTTTTTCATGCTACCAGCCTTCTCCCTCTGCATTTCCTAAACCTCTCCTTGTTTTCCCAGCCGTCTCCATGTAGCTGGTTTCTGACCTCCCTCCAGCTCTTCCCTGTGCCTTCCCCATTGATGCAGCCCAGGGAGAAGACCCCGAACCTCGAACGTGCCTGACTCTGACCGAAGATCTGAGCCATAACGCCCCATTTCAATACCTCCTGTGGGGCTCCGGGTCTCCCTCCCTGCTCCGACGGTGAAAATAGCATCTGTCCACCCCGCTCCCTCCTGCCTCGGGGCTTGGGGCTGAGCCCAGCCAGTTGCGCTTTGGGTGGTTTGGGTTTAATCCAAATTAGCTGCTTTTCGGGCTGCTGGGCTGCCTGCAGGGCTCCCGAGGACTCTCCCAGTGTGGTGTCTCATCATCCATCCTTTGATTGAAGGTCAGGCACCTCTCCTTCACTTTCTAATCCGTTTATAGGTGTCCCTGCTTAGTTTAAGAGCTTATCGGAGCCAGGGGCAGGCACCTCTGCGTCTCCTGGAAGACTCCTTGGCCGTGGCCAGGGCAGAGGAAGATCACCCGGATCCTCTTTATCGCCACTTGGCTGGGACTTATGGCAATGGCATACCTGTGGATAGGGGTGAAAGCTGTGCACCACGGCGTGACACTGCAGCTGGGAGCTGGGGACAGCTTGTCCTCATGGTCCCCAAGCTCGCCTGGTGCCCACCAGTGACCCAGAAGCAAGGTGGCAGTGCCAGGGCAGACGTCTGGCACAGCTGGGGCTGATGGAGGTAGCTACAGGCGGGTGCTGGATTGATTTATTCCTATAGTTTTATTCCCAAAGCATCAAAATGAGGCTTGCAAGTGCCCCCAGCCCTGTGTACTCAGCTAACCCTTACCGCTGTCCCGTCTCGCTGCAGGGGTGTTGCTATTTTTGGTGGTAAATGCTCCTTTTTGCGGCCTTTCCCCAAGGAAGGACAGTTATCGTGGTCTGTTTGCCATGGGATGCTCCTGGCCTGGCAGCCTTGCTGGGGCACACAGCACAGGATCCAGCCAGCCATTCCTGGCGAGGTGGAGGGCTCGGAGAGGAGCACCCCGACAGGATGGAGTCAGGCAGAAGCTTCAGCTGTGCCCGGAGTGAAGCCACCACCACGCTTTCACTCACTGACCCGAGGATTGCGTTGGGCTGGCCGGGGTGGGGGCTGCCTGTCTCTCTTTTCAGCGGATTTTCTCTCTTTTAATCTCCTTGCGTTTCGGGATGAAAGCCTGATTGTGGGTGCAATCTGGACATGCAGGCAGCGCGGGCTGAGGAGGGCTGAGTGCTGGTGATCGCCGTCCCCAGCGTGGCATCCTTCTTCCTTGCTGCCTCCAGTGCCTTGTTCTGACCATCCCACACCACCCCATTCCTGACAGTGTTCAAGGCCAGGTTGGATGAGGCTTTGGGCAATCTGGTGTAGGGGAGTGTGTCCCTGCCCATGGCAGAGGGGTTGGAACTGGATGATCTTGAAGGTCCCTTCCAACCCAAACCATTCCACAATTCTATAAAGCCGAGTTCACTCCAGCAGGGAGAGCATCCACATCTCCAGCCCCAGCTTCCCCT